ATCCGCCAGTTCCTTCAGGACCCGCGGATGTCTACATTTGGCTTCATCTGGTTGCCACTGACAACCCGTGAGGCCGCTAGTTTCCTATTTTGGTCCCCTGTTTAACACTGTTAATGACAACAACATCTACTGGGACCTTCTTTATTGTATCAATACACCACAGCTTTACAGAAAAAAAAAATAACAGAACAGGTTTCCAAACAAGCCTTTTGGAATTTACTTTTCCTTGCTCTTGGAAGTTTTCAAACAGCATTTTAGAGGAACCGATCCACTTCCTTTGTCCTCCACTATTCATCTGAGAGATGTTTCCAAGAGCATAAGAGCAATGGCATGTACTCACCCAGTAAACTGGCTACTATGGAGACCAATCCAGTTCCAGCTCCAATTTCAATCACATTTTTGTCAACCAAATTGTATTGTTTAGAATTAGTTTCCAAAATGTAACACAGAACAAGAGCCTGTAGGGGAGGGAATCCATGAACATACTGAACAAATAAATGAAATAAACCCCTTCACTAAATATGCATTATCATTTAAAAGCATGCAAAAAGAGAAAAAGTCTTTTGTAATTTCCTGTCTGTTCAAATGAGCAATATTCATTCAAGCCTGTCTCTAAAGGATCACGGCTCACTATGATCTTTGAGCTCTATAGGCTGACAAAATAAATGCCACAACATGCCTCAATATAGCCTTGCAAAGCATTAGAGCCAGAAGGAACAACTGCAATTATCTAATGTGTCACGCTGCATAACATGAGCTATAAAATTCCAGTCAGCAATTCCTGCTTATAACTGCACTTACTTCTGGTTGAGCTAAGGTGTGTCCTTCACAAAGACATCTTGATTTAATGACTGCTTGTGAGAGAAAATCCACAGCAACTCTCGTTAAGCTCTTCCAATAGCTAATTATTTCTAACAATAATTAATTACCATAATGATTCAAAAGGTATCAATAGATTTACCCCTTCTCTTTCAGTTCAGTTCATTTTCATGTTCCCTCTGCTTACCTTCTTAAGCATAGCAAACCTGTAGAGCAAACAAAGCCACCAAGCCCTCTACAACAAACTCCTTATAGATGCATTTATAAACTGTGATTAAGAAGCTTCTTCAGCTTTTCTGTCCTGTCTCACACTGATCAGTGTGTTTTAGTCCACTGTTGAAATAGAAATTTATAATTTTATTTCTCTGACAAAGTTAGTTTCCAGCTTGTCTCCCACATTTTTTCCCAGACTTAGACAACTTTATAGTCTCCATTGACAAATACATGACAGTTGCCACATCCTCTTGCAATACAGATGACCATTTGGAACAACAATTATTAGGGGCTCGGTCTGGCACAACAAAATTATGCTCTTAGTTTTACTTCTAATCAATTAAGAAGTAGAAGGAATGGAGCAGGAGGGATGTTGATTCAATGTCAATATGCTCGAAATTCAAAGTTTTTGTTTTCCACCTCTTAATTCAGAGCAAAAAGAGCAAGATCTTTTATGCAAACTTACATATATCTCCTAATCAATAAAGCTTTGATATAGAAACAAGTCTGAAAACACCAGGACTAATTAAAGTCACGTTCTTAAAGATTGAGTCTGATGTTTGACTGACTTTTAAAAACACGCTATATTAACATTTCTTGTTAGTTCCACGTATTCCTGTGATTTCTTCCCTCAGAGTTTTGTCATATTCTGTTGTAGAAACTGTGGGTTAAATTAGGGAAACTTTTGAATCTGGATTCCTTTCCACGAAACATGCAGAACCTTTATTTTCCTTGAAGTTTCCACCCTTGACAAATTTGGGTGACGTTTTTCGGAAGAGTTCAAATACTGCTGGATAAACCAGGAAGGAAGAACATGAAGAGATACAGACAGGAGGGTTGCCTGCCTTCCACATCAAAACTGGCTAAACCTTTCCATTAAAAAAAAAGCAACTATGTTTTCCAGTACAGCCCATGGTTTTGTGAGAACAATTGGCAGTCAGTCACCCTTTCCTCGAAGATGTGCACTGAGGCCAACGAGATATACTATAAATGACTCGTCCAGGTCTGTTAAAACAAGGAAAATTGTTTGGAGTTCAAAACAGCAAAGTATGCTAACTCTCCTCAGCTTAACTATGGCAGTATTTCTTAAAATCAGTACAATCCTAGGAGGCTAATACAGCTGGGACAGAAATGGAGCCTCTTGGGTTTTAGTCTTCTCTCTCCTGTAGGGGTTCCTGTAGATAGTTCTGTTTCAGGGATGTTCTCTGAATGCCACAAGTGTCAACAGTGCATCATGGCACCTCCCTGACCACAGTGGTTTCTTTCACTCTTAATTATCCACTCTTAATAACAGTCAGTTAGCTGCATCACACAGATTCAAAACCCTACAGAAGGCTCTTTGTATGGTGGCCATGCTGATGGTTCTCATGTCAAGAGCCAAGGACAAGGGTGTTCTCTCACTAGATTTCTGGCTCTTTAAGAAACTGAAAGCTCCAGTTGAACCTTCTCTCATGTCTGCATATTTAGAAGGTAAAATTGTTTCTCACACGAGTAGGTTGAGTAGCTTCTATAACAGCTAATATCTTCTGAGCTTGTATCACAGCTGTTTTGTGCAACATGGACCTGCCTGCTAGACAGCTGTCTGTATTTATAAAACATACAGAAATGTAATCATCATAAGACTACCATATTTCCTGCAAAATATGCTTGTAATTGGCCAATTGATACAGGATCAAAAGTTACTGGTAGGTGAGGAGGCGATACAAAATTGTACATATTGTGTGTCAGGGGCATGAACAAGAGATAATATTCAAGCTTTGAGAACCAGGAATCCATATGAAATCACGATAAATTCAAGTTTAGGATTTGCAGAATGGAGACAGAGAAGCATAGAATCTTTTCCTGGTGTTTACAACATACAACATAACATATTTATCATGCAAAACAAAAGTGCTAGAAGATTCTGAAACTAAAAAAAATGACAATAATGCATAAACATTGTACCGATGGCCAGACGACTGCCCCGTAACAATCAGTGGCTTCTGTTATTCTTATCTCATGGCCAGCAAAGTGAAAGCCTTCCCAGGCCTTATGAGTTATAAGAGCAGGAAAAAAACGCCTTCCCATGATTTCTGCAACTATCTGTTCATCTTCTTTTTCCCCTGGAAGCAAAAGTACAAAAGGTCAAACAGGCTGAGTGGACTGATAATGAAACTACCAATTTATATTGAAAAGCTTATTTGGAAGCAAGAATGCGAATTACATTTGTGAATAAAAATGCATTCCACTATTAATGGCTAGCATGATACATGGGAAGTCTACTGAATTCTGATTGAAGTTTTCAGTTTATGACCAAGTAATTTCTTTCCTGTTTTGCTGAAGAAGCCAAGTTCATAAAAAGTAAAGAAGTGGAATGTTACCCTATATTGCTTTCCATTTCAGCAATCCAAATAAATTTTTTTAACTTCTTTTTCACTTCAAGAACAGCTGCCCTAGTATAGATGCTCACGGTCTAATGTGTCCAGATTTTTTATTATTTTCCATATCCTTTTACTGTTCACATTCCCCACATTACAGTTCTTTTTGACAGTAAACAAAAGGAGCCACAGTATCATTTATAAGTCTGTCACAAAACTTGTGAAACAGATCCTAGCAACACAGATTATGACAGACAGGAGTGAAAGCACCAGTGTTGTCAGGAAAGCTTATCCACCCACCCCAACAGAGCACTGTCAAAGGGATTCTTTCCAGTTGGCTTGATATCCTGAATGCCATTCCTGTTGCTAGGCAAAGGATATTTATGATAGCTAACATAATCCCGGATAACTCTTCTAACAGAAGAGGATTAATTCTTTTTTAGCTGAATATCAAGCCAGTTTCAGTTTTGCCATCATCACACAAAGCTGCATCGCAATGTTATAAAATAATACATAAGTGAAGCTGTCCAGAGTATGTTCTTAGCAAAGTCTAGAATCATTCCAAGTTTTCACAGGAAATTTGCTTTCACAGTCAACTATGATCTCTTGGCAAATAAGCTAAAGTAAAACACGTTCACAAGCTAAACCTCCTGGAAAGCACACCAGAGGTTTAGATAACTGGATTACAGTCTTGTCCAAAGCAGAGTTTCTGTATCAAGCCTGCAGTTACCATCAAAATCACAGATACCAAGATCGGGATTACATAGCAAAGAAACTGCAGCCTCAATGTCTATTAAAAATGGAAATATTTGCTTTTTCATCAACATAGAACACATTGGTCTACCAAAGATTCTTCATGATTTCTTCCCCCTCAAATCACTGCAGTCACAGGACGTGATGGCCTCAAGTGTTTTCATTTGCTTTGCCATATGCCTCAGTAATTTTTATCACCATATCCTATTGACAAAGTCTCTCTCCCTTCCTTGTGATAGAAGGACCAAGGAACAAATGCATGGGTGAACAGAGAAAGAGATGATACCAAACAAAAACACACCAGGAAGATGCACCAGCTCCTTAGTCAGTGCTCGAAGCCTGTAACTTAACTTACTTTAAGCATCAGACAAAACTAGAAAATAACAACAAACACAAGGAAAAAAAAGCAAAAATGTTCAAGTTCAATCTTAGCAGATTGACACTAAAACATAATCTGGAAGTTAAAGCAAAACAAAAATAAACCAAAAAAAAACACCAAACCAACCAACACATGGTACTCCAAGAACTGACTGGGGGAAAAAATACTATCATAGGACACGGCAAAATTAAAAATTATGTAATGCATATACTACTGGAAAGACATATAAACAGTATAATTTTGTAAAGGTAGTATAAATAAAATAGTCTTAACATTGAAACTTTGATATTTTAAGATCTCAGAAAACAAGTGGTATGGGGCAGCCCATTACCTCTTCTGCAAGCCTCTAACATTCAGTTTAGAGAAAACACATGCATCATTGTGCCTGAAAGCAGAGAACTCTACACAAACATGAGTTAAGTGCGAGAAAAATGCTGCTTCCAGTCAAAATTAGTCTTTTCTTATGAAAGAATTAATATGAAGATGTCTTATTACAAATATTGTTAAGTATATTTAATGTATTATTCTGTTTCCAGGCATACCAGATACAGTCTGCTTTTAGTCTTCTCTGATTGCTTTGAGCAGTCTCATCTTGTTCTGCAGTCAGTACTAGCTGTGGAAGTAAAGTGCCTTCCTTCTATTACCTCCCAATTACAACCATTTTTCTTGATCCTTCCTCCCTTGACATCTGGTTTGGATCCAATTTTGTTGGGAAGCCATAACTTATTAAGTCTTAACTTATAAAGCTTCTGTGAGAAGAACTATAAAACTTTAGCAGTATTACAGCTACCCCTCTAGTG